TTTTTTTTTTTTTTTTTTTTTTTTTTTTTTTTTTTTTTTCAAGACTTGCGACATATTTCAAATTATATTGGTTGAGTACGTGAAAATATTATTATTATTTTTTTATAGTATTATTTAATATATATTTACCATAAATTCGAATTTATATTCTTCTATATATTTTTAAATGAGTATATGAGAAATGTAGACTATGAAAATTTTATTTTCGTAGGTGGGACTTTTATTTAATTAAAGGAAAATAATTATTTTTACTGGATTCTTACCCACTGTCATATTTGCTCAGTTTATTATTTATATTTATTCGGATAATTTTGTTCTTTTTTTGTTTATATTATTCCAAGTACTTAATGGCGAGAATTAAAAAATTTTTTTTATAATAAATAAAAATTTACAATTTTTCAAATTAAAAAAAAAATTGTTCGCCTTAAAAAAAAAATTAGAATCCAGCATTAGAGTTTTAAAAATTCTAACAATTATTTTTCGACTAATAATTATTGTTATATGTATAATTCATTCATTACTTATTTAATAATAATAATAATAATAATATATAGAGTACGGATTGTTGACTTGACAGAGAGATAAATAATTAATTATTTTTTCTTGAACGTCTCTCAATATCAATTGTTGTTACAAAGACAAAATAATTGATAATTACGATAAATAAATAAAATAAAATAATTAAAAAAAATTTTCAACACAAAATTTTGAATAAATCTAAACTAAAAAAAATTATACATCGAATTGGCAGTATTAAATCACAAATTATCCACAAAAATTACCAACATTGTCTTTGTAATTTCAAAACAATTATATTCTACAATTTTATTTTTTTATATATATATATAATTTTATATTATATATAAATGACCTAGTGTAACAACATAGCACCTAGGGTATTTGTACTTTTGCATAAACTTTGCATTTAAATGAAGAAAATTATAAAGATAAATTATCCTGAAGGATAATTTAAAAAAACTGACAAGATAATTGTTTTTATGTACAAAATAAAAAATAATCGACAAAGCAATTAAACCCTAAAAAAATCACATCTAAACTAAATAAATGTATATTTTAAATATACAAATAAAAATTTAAAACACTTACGCATTTAATAATCAATTAATCTAATAAACATCAGTAAGTGTTCAATTAATAAAATCTTAATAATTTATCCTAATTTATAATTAATATACATTATCTACAAAACAAATTATTCATTGTTACTTTTTTTAATATAAACTCGAAACTAAAATAATTATAATTAATAAACTGCGTTAGTTTCTTTTTTTATTTTCATTTTTAAACTCTTAAAGGCTTTTTTTAATTTATCACATCAACTAAGACAATTCATTTAATTATTCTTTAATTATTACTTTTTAAATGTTTATTAGCGTGCACGCTTATCTGGCCAAACGATAAGCGCAGCAAAATGAGCAGTTTTTTTTTTTTCTATTTTTTCGAGTTAATATATTGTTTAATTTATATATACAAGTTACGAATTAAATTCTACCAGCGAGAACTGATAAATGGTACACGACACCTGGTGGTAAAAAATCGAAGTATTTGTTGTAACCGTGCAATTTTTTGTATTTACGGTTTTGTAACAAAATAACTGGACTTAACTGATAAAAAAATTATCTTGATTTAAAAAAAAAAAACGTAATTATTTACACGTGGGGTGAAACTTATTTTTGGCTATAAAAAATAAATAAATTAATGGATCATCACAATTTTTTTTTTTAATTTATGGTGATATCGAAAATTAAATAAATTAATATTTCAATTAAAAAATCATCTTTGAAAGTTGGAAAAAATTCTATTTTATCTTTTTTTGATGTTATTGATATATTTTTTTTTTTTTGAAAAAAAAAATAATAATAAAAACGAATTAAAAAAAAAAAAAAGTTGAATATCACAATTTTCTAAAAAATTTATGAATTTTTTTAAAAATTTGTTAAAATTCTAATAATCTAATTTTTTAAGAAATAAAAAAAAATCTTTTTTTTTATTAATTTAACTGTAAAAAAAGAATTTGTAATTTTTTTAAATCAATTTCTGATGAAAAAATTTTTTTGATAATTCAATAATAAAAAAAAAATTTTCAATAATTCAATTATTAAAAAAAAAAATTTATAACAATTTAATGATAAAAAAAAATTTTTTTCTATAATAATTTAACCGTAAAAAAAAAATTTGTAATTTTTTTAAATCAATTTTTGATAAAAAAATTTTTTTGAAAATTTATTAAAATTGTGATAATCAACTTTTTTTTTTTAATTCTTTATTTTTTTATGTATTTTGAAAAAAAAATATATCAATAAAATCAAGTGAAAATTTAATTTAAAAAAATGAAAATAAAAATCGTTGAACCCACTTTTAAATATTTACCAAAAAAATTTTTAAGTAAGAGTGATTTCTTAGCTTAAAATTTTTTTTTCAAGTTAACTTTTTTATCAATTTGTCTTACAGAGCTCGGCTAGATAACAAAATACCCTATAAAAATAATTTTTAAAAATCTTCCATAATATTTTAACAAAAAAAAAAATATGTTATTATTCTTAAAAAAAAAACGTGAGTATTTTGTGATGTTACCCAGAGCTCAAACTTCGACTCGTGTTAGATCACACACATAATGCTCGTGCGCTCAACCTCCCATGACGTTCTCACAGCACATATATTCCGTCTTAATAATCTCATCACTAAAAATCCCGGTTTATAAATCTAAAAATAAAATAATTAATCTTTCTCAACAAGATTATCTGTCGGTAAAGTTTTCGGTAGAACAGATTCAGGCTCCTTACTATCAGCAAATTCATTACTCGGATCATCAACGGTATCAGTACTGTCTACAACAACATTAGTATCATTATCAGCTTTAATATCATTACAATCATTACTCGGTAATAAATTATTACTATTATTATTACAACTATGATTATGATTAAAATTATTCAACTGATCTTTCAGGCGTTTAATCTCGCGGAAATCATTGTTGCGTTGGAGCAACAACTGCCGAAACTCGTTGGTGACTTTTTTGGCGAGCGTCAACACATCCTGGGGAACTTTTAAGGTGACGAGTCGTTCTTCCAAGTCGACGAGCGCCGAAGGGTCAAACAATTCTGGAGATGCTGAAGAAGGACTTGCTGAAGAAAGAGAGTCAGTCGGCTCGACGTTGACTGTCGATGATGTAACGGCGCTGCTTTCTTCTTCGTCAGTCGTTTTGGATTTTTCTTCAGCCTTGTCGGTGTCAGCAGTGTCATTAGTGTGACTGATATCGTGATTAATATCGTTGACAATAACACTGTCTTGTTTGTCGATATCATTATCATTATTATCATTACCAAGAGGATTGTTGTTGTCATTATCGTGGGGATCTGGTGTCGATGATTGATAATTATCAACAATGTCTTGCTCAGGTGCAGGTGACGAAGGTTTTTCTACCTTTATAACAACGGTGTCTAGTTTGTTGTTATCATCCGGGCTGAGCGACCGGTGATGATGCCTTTTGTCGTGGTAATGACGTCGAGGAGCGACTACAGGTACTGGTATGCCTGATGATAATGACGGCGGGACTGGCGTTATCGATGGCGTTGGCACTGGTGCCAAGGCTACGTTCGGCTGATAATGGGGTTCAAAGCGCTCGCAATCTGATAGTGAGACCACCCGCTCTGGGTGTTGCAGCACCGGTGGACCACGGCTTAGATATGCAGGCACCAGTGGTGAACTGTTTAAAAAAAAAAATTATTATTAAATTATTATTATTATTATTATTATTATTATTATTATTATTATTTATTATTTATTATTATTATTATTATTATTATTAAATTATTATATGTAATTTTTTTTATTAAATAGAAAATAACTTAAGTAGTTATACGCATTTGGAATTAAAAAATTTATTTTTTTTAGGCTAAAATTTTTATCAGAAATCAATAATTTTTTTTTTTTTTGTTAAAAATATAAATTTTGATAATTTCTGATTGATAGATCTTATCTTGTAAGATATCAGTTTAAGTAGAATTTTGGCTGAACGGTGAGATACGGTAAAATTTATAAAGACCATATTTATAGGAAATTTAATTTGCTAAAAAACAAAGGTAATCATAATCTTTTTTTATTTTCAATATTTAACCCGAAATTTTGATTTTTAACTTTCTTCATACGTGGTCTTATCAGAGACAATTAAAATCAAATTTTAAATTAAAATTTTGGATAAATGAGAAGAGATAGAGAAAAATTGATTAAGACTTTTTTGGTAGGTAATTAAATTTTCCTTAGAAAAGTTCTCCTATACTTTTTTGGAATCCCGGAAAAAATAGACCTTGAAAAAATGGTAAAGTTATGAAAAATTCATATTATTTCATTAAAATTATTATAAAATAAAAATGATAATAATAATAATAATATTAATAATTTTTTTTTTGTAACAAAAAATGGAGTGATCATTCTGGGGGTGCTTATTTTTCAGAAAAATTGTGAGTGTGATAGAATTATTAATATAATTTTTATTTTTAATAATTTTAATGAAATAATATGAATTTTTTATAACTTGAAAATTTTTTCCGATTACCAATTTTTTAATATCTTCAATGGAAAACTAAAAATTTTGAATTAAAATTTTTTAAACTCGCGATATACTCAAAATTGCTGAGAATCGTATTTGAAATTAAAATTCTGGCTAAATAATAAGAAATAAATAAAAATTGATCAAGAGCTATTTGATAGATAATTAAATTTTCTTAAAAAAAAGTTCTATTATAATTTTTTTCTTATTTTGAACATTCAACCCAGAATTTTTATTTTTAACTTTCTTAATAAGTGATCTTATCAGACAATTGAAATCAAATTTGAAATTAAAATTCTGGCTAAATGAAAAGAGAAAAAAAATTGATAAGGGCCTTTTTGATAGATAATTAAATTTTCTACAAAAAACATTGATTTGCAACGTTTCGTCTTTATTCTTAAGACTTTATCAAGCTCTCAACAATGTCTAAACGATCGTCAAATTAAAATAAATACATAGACGATTTTTTTTTAGTATAATTATCATTGAGATTACCAATTGATAATTTGATAAACACAACAATATTTATAACGAATTATAAACGATTAATAAAATAAATATAAGCCTTTTAAGCATGTGCTTACTAACAATGTGCTTATTTTTATTTTTACTTATTTTATTAATCGTTTATAGTTTGTTGTAAATATTGTGAATATTTTGAATTTAAAATTTTGAATTAAAATTTTTCAAACTCGCGATATTTTTAAAATCGCTAAGAATTGTATTTGAAATTAAAATTCTGAGTAAATGATAAGAGATAAATAAAAATTGATAAGTACAGTAAAAATTAAATGTTAATTAAATTATGTTGTTTTTTAAATGATGAAAAATTTATAAAATTGCACACATGCAATGGATAGTCTAGTCTTATTAAAGTATTATTTTTTGACGTTGTATTAATCTTAAAAGTTTTATTTTTATTGATATTTTCATCTCTTTCTGTATAAATAATTTTTGTCAAGTATGTCTTTTGTATTTGTTTATAATTGTATTCTTACAGTATGTCTGAAGAAGTTGGAAATAAAGCCAACGAAAAGTTGCATTTTTTTAAAATTTAACATATTGCTATAGTCCACGTTCCCAAGATTTATTGTCTAATATTTCAATAAGTCAATTACTTTTTGATAGATAATTAAATTTCCTTCTAAAAAATTCTCTTATGATTTGTTCGTATCTTTAATATTCAGCCCAGAATTTCAAAATTTTTTTTACTTCATATTAATGTTATGAAAATTAATTTATCAGATATTTAATAATTTTTAAAACTTTTGTTAACAAATAAATTATGGCAAAAAAAATAAGAAAAAAAAATTGACATGTAGAAATTTAAAAAAATTAAAAATGCAATTTTTTTAAAATAATTTTTTAAAATTAATTTAATTGTTAAATAAAATTAGAAAATTTGTCAAGTGACAGCTAACTTTAATGTCATATTAATCTTTGATAAAAAAAAGAATTTATTTTTTTAATTTTTAATTTTAGATTAATAAAATTGAAAACTAAATTAAAAAATCCCTTTTTTGTTGCCTTCTAAATGCGTGTAATTATTTTAAGTGACTCACATATAACAATAAAAAAAAATAATTAGTAAAATACATTAGAAGAATATTTAAAACAGTGTATTTATTTATTTATTGATAGAAAACTTACTTATCTCTATGTTTACATGAAGCAGCAGCAGCAGCAGCATTCCAAGGTCTAAATGCCGATGCACCACGTGCAGCTAATTCAAAAACAGCCCACTGCATTAAATAAGGATCACCGTCGGTACCGGTCGCTGATACTGGATACATCAATCCATTATTGCTGGCATATATACCGCAGTCATCGCGGTTCAATTCTTTCTTCATACGTTTGGGTAATTTCTCAATATCATGCCTTATCTGAAATAATAAAAGTACATTATTAATTTAATCTACAAAGTATGATTATTATCATTTTTATTTTAATAAATTCATTAATTAATATATTCTTCTTACTCTAGTATAATAACTCGAGTGGTAATAACATATTTTATTTAATTTTTTTAATTTGTTTAATTAAGAATAATATTAATCATCGTGATACAGAAATTTTCGTAGAAAATTAAATGGAATGTGGCTCTTTGCACACACACACTATTACTTTACTCAACTATATACTACACTTGAATAAGCTCTTTGGAGAAATCTATTTATAAAAAAGTAAAATTGGCAATTTGGCAAGGAATATTTGTATGCTTAAACTCTAGGTAAATCATTCAGGTATATTAATAATAATAATAATGATAAAAATAATAATAATAATATTTTGGGAAATACAAATATTTTTATGGTGACTTAATGATTTTCATTTTTCACGATGAATAATAAATATTTAATAAGTTACTATATCTTCTAAAATATTAAATATAAATCTATAATATAAAAATATTTTTTTAAGCTACAATTTTGGTCTTATAATTTTTTGAAAAAATTAATATTTTAGGAGTTATAGCTATTTTTATAGTGACTAGGTAATCATTTTTTAATATATGAATAATCCTTTTCTGTATTTTAGTTTAGTAAATTATTTTTTTTTTTTTGCTATTATTTATTAACATTTTTGATAATATTATGTGACCAATCGATTCAGAAAAGATTGAATTTTTTTATTATGTAAATTAAATTAATCTCTTATGAAAAATATTGTTCTGTAAATCATTTAAAATCGATCAAGGCTTTACTTGCAAAAAATTTTTTGTTAATAACAAAGATTCCTATTCACAAATTTCAGTGAATTTTTCACTGTTAGATTCGTCTGATTTTTTACAATTTTAAAATTTCCAGTAGCACATTTTGCCCACAAAGTTGCATAGTAGCGGGCGTAGACTATAATATTTAAAAAGTTACTATATCTCCTAAAATATTGATAATTTTTTGATAAAATTAATACTTCAGAAATTTTAATCATTTTTATAGTGACTAGTTAATGATTTTTTATTTTTGTATATATGAATAATATTTAAGAAGTTATTATATCTCCTAAAATATTGAAGATAGACCTGTAGTATAAAAATGTTTTTGTTAGAAAATTTTATAAGCTACAATTTTGGTCTCTTATGATTTTTTGATAAAATTGATATTTTAAGAGTAATTCGATAATGATTTGGTATTAAATTCAAAATTTTTTTTTTCAAATAAAAATCTATATTTTTTATATATTTCAGTAAAAAAAAAAAAAAATTTTTATAATTTAATCTTTATAAAATTTGAATTTTAAAAAGCAAATATAGTTTTCATACTATGGTTAATTTATTAGCGTATCGATTTAAAGGTTCTAGAGCTGTAAAAAGTAGAGTCTAAATCCGTGCCAAAGTTATTTCATAATAATTAGATGAAAATTTAATGATTCATTGTTTATTTTATTTCAAGTGGCTCAATACTCGATATAATATATATCGTCCATATATAATAAGTCAGAATGTTGGAATATTCTGTTAATTTTTAATTGTAATTAAGCATGCTTTAAATTTTGTTAATAATTTTTTTTTATATAAAAAATTTAACCAAGCAAAAATATTTGAAAATATCATTATTTAATTTTTATTGGTAATTGTTTCGATGTTGGACTCTAGAATTTTTTTACCATAAAAAAAAATGAAAAATTAACTTATTCAAGTTTTTTTTTTTTCGTTGCGGTGAATTCATGAATATAGTTCGGAAAATAAATTTTTCGCTTATATTTATTCAATTTGAAAGTAAAAAAATTCATATTTTTTTTTTAATGGAATATTTTTAAACATCAATTTTTAAAGTAAAAAGTTAAAAAAATATCTTGATATGATTTGAATATTTTTAAAATTTTTAGAAAAATTATAAGTTTTTTTTTATTTCAATTTCACATCAAAATATAATAAATAAAAAAAAACAGTCCATAAAATTTTTTGAATTTTCACAATTTTATAAATTCTAAAAAATTGAAATATTGATACATATTTTTTTTTTATGCAAAAAAAGAAAAAAATACCCCATTACTTCTAAATCTTTAATTGAAAGTCCAAACATCATAAAAATTTTTCAATCATAGTATAATTTCTTTTAATTTGTTTAACTCTTTAAAATCATCATTGAAAACAAGACAAGCATGAATATCTCCATTTTCAATTTACAAAAAAATTGAACTTCAACTTAGCTGATCATTTTTTATTCTTATTTACTAAAAATTACACTTGTAATTTTTTTAAAATTTTTACAGCTTGAATTTTGTCAAAAGTTTTATCATAATTTCTTAACTGTCAAACAAAAAATTCTAAAAATTGTCAGATGTCCCAGATTCAATATTAAAAAAAAAAAAAATCCAAACTTAAAATTCTGTTAAATCCACCATGAAGAAAAAAAAAATCATTAATAATTAAATTATTTTTTTTTAAGCTCTCACATCGAGACAATTACCTCCGTAAAAATAAATGGTAATTATTTACAAATATTAATTAACATTTTCAAATTGTTTTTTGATTCTGAAAAAAATAAAGATTTCGATAACTTTTTTGACTTGAAAAGTTGGAAAAAATTTTGGCTCATGTTTTAATTTCTTCTTGCAATCAATACAATTACCATTGATTGATCTTATAATTTAACATGATAGTTATGAATTAATGTCGGTCTTTAAAATTGTATTGCAAATACTCTATCAAATGTATACTTGTAAACAATTATGTATTGTTGATGGTCCTGAATGAACTTAGAACTCCAGGATCAAATAAAATTTATTATCTATCTATCTAAAGCCTCATAAATAACAATCTTCCAATCTAGCAAACTGAAATAAAAAAAAAAACCAAATCACACACAAGAAGCTTACCTCCGGAGCTTTTCTCTTGCTGTAATTAGGTACAGGATATCTATCCTTGAGATTCCGAAACAAACTAACAACTTTATTATAATGCGGCTGGTCCCTAGATAAGAGTAAATAAGACCGCCAGTTAGTAGAATCAAACCCCCAATGACAAGTTCTGTTCTCGAGAGGCCGATGAGCGTGTCTAACAAACCTCTGAGGCGAGAACTGTCCGCCGCACTCGAGACATTCAATGCACGCGGAGTCCTCAGAGTCAAAGAGATCAGCATCAAAGACCCCCTTGCACTTGCCAAAGCACTCGTGGTACACTTTAAACCTGACGATCGAGTCATCAAGCTCCTCCTTCTTGCACAGCCCAAGTTCTTTATCCTCCCGGTGATGTTTTAGGAGCACCTCTTCAGGATGAAGCTCCCTGGTCTCAGTGCGAAGGAGCAGCGCGCTGACCAACCTCTCAGCATCGGTCTGAGTGATCAATCCGCAGGAGGGCGCGTTCCTGGGAAGAATCCCTGAAAGCTTCAATTCTTCCAGCTGGTCATGAGTGCACCTCGAGCAGTAGATCTGCAGCTCATCGCAAACCTGGTTGATCTGCTGGAGCGAGAAGTCCTGGAGCACGGTGTTGAGGATCTGGGGCAAGCAGAGTCTCCGCTCGCCTCCGACCACAAAGCAGGAAATCCGCTCGTTCTCCAGCAAGGTCTCGCAGCGCTCCGAGCAACTCTGGTCCGGAGCTGTCAGAATCGGGATCTGGAACTCGAGCTCCCGCTTGTCAACCTTCACCCTCTCTGTCTGGGAATCTTCCGAGTCCTCGCGGTCTAATCTTTCGACTACATCCAACCGGTCTCTGATAAACTCTTTCCCCTTGCAGGAATCCTTATCAGGATTTGCCTCGCAAGTGTCCGAGCACCTCAGTGACGAAAAATGAAACTGCTCTTGGAGCAAATTCTTGCAGTCCATTCCCAGTAGGGCGGAACTCGGTCCCTGCAGGCTTTTAACTGCAGACAGCTGATATGTCTTCAAGACTGTCTTCAGTTGCGGGCTGTACGACTGATTAGTCGTGTGTCCTGGCAACAGCGTCTCCATTGTCACTCTATAATATTTTATCTCTTAAATATTTTACTTTTAGGTTAAAACTGGTTGAGCAAAAATATTCCTTGCCAAACTCGGGCCATATTTACAGTCCTCACTAACAGTACTTGTCGTAATAATAATAATAATAATAATAATAATAATAACAATAATAATATTAATAGTAATAATAATAAAAATAACAATAAAAATAAAAAAATAAAATGTTAGCACTGATCTGCAGAATCCACTTGATGGCATCAAATAATTATAAGCACTAAACGGCGCACAACCGAATAAAACCCGTTGCGCATCGTATCGCATATATAACTTAAACTTTAACCAAAAAAGCGTCCGCTATTTTTTAGCAGTACCTAGTACCTAGCGTGAGTCTTAACTGTGTAAGAAAGACCTTCTCTATTTATCTCAGTCTACATACAGTGTAATAAAATGAGGAGCTGAGAAGAGAGGTTGTAATGCGGCCCCCGCCTCCTCGGAGAAGTTAGGCTACACCAGAGCCACAACACTCGGCTCGGTCATGGGTACAGGTCGGTGGCCTGTACTTGTACGCTGCTTCTTATTCTTCCTCTTAACTTTGCTAGCTTATATTATTATTCTTCTTCTTCCTCTGGCTCTTCTTCTTCTTCTTCTTCTTCTTCTTCCTCTTCCCTCACCAGCCGCATTTAATCACCACTACAAACAAATCATTTACTATTATTTACTATACATCAACTGACAACACTCCATACGCTTATTATTCTGCAATGACATGGGCTGATGCCCAGTACCATTGCACCAGGTTCTATCATTTAATTTTTTAAGTATTTTTTTGTTGTTTATTAATAATAATAATAATAAATAATAATTATGTTTAATTAATTTTAATAATTATAGTAACACTTTAAATCCCCATAACACTTTTAGTCTTAAATAATTAAGTCTAAAATAAAGTATATTTGATGATTTTCCCCGAACCCACTTCCGAAAATAATTATCGAAAATAAAGTATATTTGATGATTTTTCCCGAACCCTGACAGAAAAATAAACTGTAACTACAGCAATATCTTGAGTACTCCTATGACCGTTTGGTTGACATGCCGCGCCGGAATGGCGTATCGATCGTATACGCATGACGACACACCAGGCCACTACTCGTGGCTCCTCCACGCATATACGCTTGAGCTTGAGAACAAAAACCTTCAATTAAATTCAACAAAACATAAATCAGAGAAACATCAAAAACTAAACAATTAACAGGTAACTTTTTAAATAAATTATTATTTAATCTATTATTATTATCATCAAATGTTTCTTGGTAACAATAATATCAATTATTATTATTATTATTATTATTATTATTATAAATAATAAAATGAATCTGTCGTAGGTCTAGACACCTTCACCGAAGCTACAGTCCAGTCCACACTAGACACTAGCACTACCGCAGAATCTAGTGCTGTGTTAAACGCACAAGCGCAGAAGTTCAAACTGTACTTTAACACACACGCGCTCCTGCTCCTGCTCCTCTAAGGCTGTGTTATATACTTAATATATTTTTATGAATATATGCATAGAGAGATTTCTGGTAAGCGCCATCTGGATACAAGTGCACAAGCGCGTCGAGCCCTCGGGGTTATGTGTATGTATTTCGCGACCTCGTTCAATGTATACAGTCGCGACGGACCTCCTCCCCCACCGACTTGTCGTCTACCCGCTCCCTATGTAAAATCTAAGTATATATATGTAATATATATATATATATATATGCGCGCCAATACAGCAGGGAGTTTATGCCACAGGCTGATGTAGGCGCAGAGGGGTCGGTATATACATATTCATCGAGGAATATATACATATATCACTCTATGTAAGTACTTACTTTGTATATAAATTTGTGTGGATTTTTTTTATATGTCTGTGTGCGTTGACGTCGGTCGAACGTCTAGTCATGTGACCTTCCCGTCAAAATAGCCTGCGTACCCACAACGCGACCACTGACACGCATAAGTATCATGCACGTGTGTGTAAGAGGATTATTATTGAAGGAAGGCATTTTTTTAATTAATGGGGATATTGATTAGAAATTATTTTTTTATTAAAATTTATTTTGCTGATATTTGATCATTTTAAGAATTTTTGTAACAAATAAATTGTAGTAAAAAAAATTGTAGTAAAAAAAAAGTAGAAATTTTAAACACTTAAAAATGCAATTTTTTTTTAATAATTTTTTGGAACAAATTTGTTTGTTTAAAAACATTTTTAAATGGTCAAGTGACAGCTAACTTTAATGTCATTTTTTTATTTTAGCTTTTTAGTTGTCATTTTTATCTATTGAATAGTTAAAAAAAATTATGATTTTTTTTACAAAATTCAGGATTTTTTTTTTCTAATTATTAATTTTTTTTTAATTGAATCATTTATTCTGTTGTTAATTATTTTTTAAGGGAAGTAATATTTTTATCTATTAAATAGTTAAAAAAAAATTTGGATTTTTTTTTTATTTTAAAAGAAAAATTCAATATTTTATTTTGAAATTATTTATTTTTTAAAAATTGTTCAAAGTTTTTAATTAAACAAAATAGTTTTTATAATTACTGATTTTTTACAAAATTAATGATTTTTTTCATGCAAATTAAGTTAGCTGACATCTAAAAATTTTTATAATTTTTTTTAATGAAAAAATTTATCACAAAAAAATAAAAAAAAAAAATTTCATTTGCAAAAAACTTTAAAAACTTTAAGTGCAATTTTTAAAAAATATTTTTTTGTGCTAATTTAATAAATAAAAAGAAATCAAAAAATCAAAAATGTCAGTGAACTTTGGTATTATTTTTTTTCTTCTAATTATTAATTTTTTTTAAAATTGAACTTTTCATTCTGTAGTTGATTATTTTTAAAGAAAGTGATATTTTTGTTCAAAGTTTTTAATTGAAAAAAAAAAAAAAAATGGATTTCATAATTGCTAATTTTTTACAAAATTCAGGATTTTTTTTTTCTAATTATTAATTTTTTTTTAATTGAATCATTTATTCTGTTGTTAATTATTTTTTAAGGGAAGTAATATTTTTATCTATTAAATAGTTAAAAAAAAATTTGGATTTTTTTTTTATTTTAAAAGAAAAATTCAATATTTTATTTTGAAATTATTTATTTTTTAAAAATTGTTCAAAGTTTTTAATTAAACAAAATAGTTTTTATAATTACTGATTTTTTACAAAATTAATGATTTTTTTCATGCAAATTAAGTTAGCTGACATCTAAAAATTTTTATAATTTTTTTTAATGAAAAAATTTATCACAAAAAAATAAAAAAAAAAAATTTCATTTGCAAAAAACTTTAAAAACTTTAAGTGCAATTTTTAAAAAATATTTTTTTGTGCTAATTTAATAAATAAAAAGAAATCAAAAAATCAAAAATGTCAGTGAACTTTGGTATTATTTTTTTTCTTCTAATTATTAATTTTTTTTAAAATTGAACTTTTCATTCTGTAGTTGATTATTTTTAAAGAAAGTGATATTTTTGTTCAAAGTTTTTAATTGAAAAAAAAAAAAAAAATGGATTTCATAATTGCTAATTTTTTACAAAATTCAGGATTTTTTTTTTCTAATTATTAATTTTTTTTTAATTGAATCATTTATTCTGTTGTTAATTATTTTTTAAGGGAAGTAATATTTTTATCTATTAAATAGTTAAAAAAAATTTAGATTTTTTTTTATTTTAAATGATAAATTAGATATTTTTTTTTTTTTTGGAATTATTTATTTTTTATAGTTACTAATTTATTTTTAAAGTTACAATTATTTTTCTTCTTATAATTAATTTTTGATTCAGAATTTTTTTTTTTTATTAAAAAATAAAAAAGTTTTTTGCTCAATACAAAAAATGAATTTTTTACTATTTTAAAGACAGTTTAAACTTTATTTTTTAATAAAATTAATTAATTCAAATATAAAGAAGAAATATTAATAAAATAAAAGCTCAAATTTTGTTATTTTGTTAATTGTTGTTAATTATTTTTTATGGAAAGTAATATTTTTGATCAAAGTTTTTAATTGAACAAAATAATTTTTATAATTGCTAATTTATTTTTCTTCTAATAATTAATTTTTGATCAGAATGTTTTTTTTTTTTATTGCCAAATAGAAAATTTTTTGCTCAATACCAAAAAAGAATTTTTTAATACAATTAATCAATTCAAATATAAAGAAGAAATATTAATAAAAAATACAAGCTCAAATTTGGTAATTTTAACTATCAACAATTTTTTATAAAAATCAAGTAAAAATACTTTCAACAAAACAGAATTTATTAACATCTTATTTGCGGTAACGTGATGTTTGATGGTAATGCATTCCATAGTTTATTACACTCAATAACAACGCAAAAAAAAACTTGCATAAGTCTTATTTAGTTTTGATAAGTGCGCTATCAAATAAATAAATAAATCAACACTTTATAAACAAAATTAAAAACGTCCTCAAAGTACTTGAATATTTAATTGATATTTATTTCTAGATACATGGCGCGAGACACTGCGTGAATGGAAGATGTTACAATTATTAAAAATAAAATATCAAAAATTGCAGATCAAAAAATTTACAAACAGATAACTTGAAGAATATTGTAGAATTTATTTAAAGAAGAAATATTTGTAAGGACTTTTGGAATATATCTTGGTGAGTTTGAAAGATAACTTGGCGCAAAGAAAATGTTTAGCTTTTGTCGGAAATGACAGCAGCGCAACGGAGTATAATAATGAGTAAGAAGTATTAGCGATAAATATCATGAATGCTAAGCGGAGTTTTACGAGGAATGCACATTGTTCTGTGCTGTAATAATATTTAACGTAATTATTTAACCGAGGGGACTTGAAATATCCGATAAGAACAGAGGATGAAAAATTAACCAATATTGATTTTATAGAATTATTTATCTGCGGGTTTAAATAATACTTTCAATTATTTAACGCGATAGATAATTTATCCGGATAATGGAGATTACATTTACGTTCCG